GGTGTTGTTGGGACATTTAGTGTACTGGGTAAGGTGTTGTGATAGGCATGTGTAGGACTGACGGATCTTGAAAGGCATGTTGTGGAGGGGGGTGTTGCCAGAAGAACATAATCATAGATTATGGTTCAGAACCAGAACATTGCATAATCCTAGATTATTAGGGTTGGAAGGGACCTCAGGAGATCATCTAGTCCAACCCCCTGCTCAAAGCAGGATCAATCCCCAACTAAATCCCCAAATGGCCCCCTCAAGGATTGAACTCACAACCCTGGGTTTAGCAAGCCAATGCTCAAACCACTGAGCTATCCCTCCCCCAGATGCATAATCTACAGACAAGGGCTGGTGAACTTTGAGACGCTTGCTTATGATGATCTTGCAAGGTTGGGGGGTTGTTTGAAGACCACAAGAGGGGCTTTGGGAAGGGTTTCTTTCAGGATGTGGTCCCCATTCAAAAATTCCATAATTGACTGTCAATCCTGTTTCCTCTCAGTTAGGTTTCACTCCCAGTGATGGTTAGATTGAGCAGCAGTCAGGAATAGCTGATTTTATGTATTTAAAAAAAAATATCCAATAATTTGGCTGTGCAATACTTGATGTATGTAACCATGTGATTCCTTTACTGTTACCCCTGTCCTCCCTTACTCCTTGTCTCCTATTGTTTGTCAGTCACTGAGTCTTGTTCACAACCTAATCTGAAACTCTTTTGGGTTGGGGCACTGTGTTTTCTGAAGTGTTTATATAGCACCTAACATAATGGGCCCTTGAACGTGACTGGAGCCTTCAGACATTACTATAATCCAAATAATAACCCTTGTTATATAATGCTCCTTCTAGTTTCCCAGTTGTCTACTATAGAGTCTTCCAAGAAAACAAGGAATGGTAACGGCCAAATTTCTCGTGTATAAAACTAGCAGGGGAAAAACATCTTTTCATGCATTGTAAATAAACCAAAAAGGCAATTACAATTTTCCCCCTTTGTAGATCACTTTTTTTTTTTTTTTTTTTTTTTTAAAGCTGCCAAAATTTTTAGCAAACCACCTGTTATGAATACTGCCTATTGTGATGTATAAATAAATGATAGTATTTTGAAACAGTACCATCTAGTGGCATATTGTAGGTATAACAATGTACTAGCCACTGAATTATGTCCAAAAATACATGGTCATTTTCTGTAAAGAAATAACTTGGAGCAAAAGGTATTACTAATGGTTCATTTGTACTGGATGCAAGGAACTCAAATATATTTGATATTGAATCATATCTGTAGACTGTTTCAAATTATTTTTCCTCACTACAGATTTACTTTATCTAAGTAATATTAAAATGAAATATTTCAAGTGTGGTATTAATACCTGAAGCCAAACTTGGCTGAAAGAGCAGGTGATTTCAAAGAGGATTCATTAGAGGATTAATGTTGGCCATTGTACAAGCCAATAAGCATTTAGGTTTTACTGCTGCATCTTTGGAACAGCATCTCATTTATTTAGCTCACTAATGCTAATTACTGATATTGACGTATGGTTACAAAAATGAAAGGTTCAGATTTGTTTATATTATGGATGGTGCCACATTGGTGTGTGTATGTGGTTGTGGGTTGGTTTTTTTTTTTTTTTTTTTAAATCTTTGCAAGGGGAATGGGAACCTCCCCAAACATACTGAAGACAATATGAGCAGCAGTTCAAACAAAGTTAATTCAGTAACTAGAGATTATCTGTGTTTTTCTGGAGAAGAAACGGAGGCATTGTGACTAGTTCGAGGCTATATGGCAAGTGCCCAGTGTTGTAAGGTGTTGAACACCCTGAACTCTTCATTGATTTGAGTAGGAGATGAGACAGTTGGCACCTCTCAAGATTGGGCCCCAACTTCAAGGCAGAGCTGGGGTTCGATCTCAGGAGTTCTTTGCATTTGAGCCTAGCATGAAGGGTCAGAGTCTGCCATCCTTATTCATTTGAAGTAGTACTTTATGCCCCAAGTGGTCATAGTGATTTCAGTGGGGGCTACTCCTAGAGTACTACTCTTGGTGAGCATGCGTCCTACAGACTCTGGCCCTAAAGTAGTAGACTGCATTGCACAGTGAATAGGACTGAAGCTGAATGGGAACATCTGGACACAGGAATGATTATCACCAGCAGAGAGAAGCAACTGTCTGAGGAGTCCAAAGGAAAGCCAGGATCTGTCAATAGAACACGTGCTGTTGTAGCACAGTATGGCTTTCTACACAGCTTCTATGTAGATGTTTGTAGAAAGCTGCCTCAGAACCTGAGGAAGGTGGGTGGAGAGGTTGATTTTAGGATTATAAAGTACTAACCTGAACTTTCTAAAATAGGAAACCGGGATGAAACTGAAATAGAGCAAACTCCCAGACAATCTGGGCAGTGAATGTCCCAGTTACTATTCTCAGTCCAGCAAGGAAGACTTGAAGTTGGAGGGAGTGATCATTCTAGCCAGGATGTGAGGTAGCATGCCTGCACATCCCAGACAGAAAAGAATTCCTGCACAGAATGGCTGGCAATAGAAAGCGGCTAGGGAAGCCATCCAGAGGCCTGCCTGGAGAAGCAGAGATGCCAGAATGACCAAGGCTGAAATACTGGCTTCCTTTCCTGCTGATTCAGGTGCAGAATAGTCTGGTGTGTGTCGAATACACTGGGATGAAATAGGACGACTGCAAGGATATTTGGGGGGGGCTGTTCATGAAACACTATATAATACACTGATTTGCATCTGCAGGGTTTGAGTTTACATCGGGATCATCTTGGGGGGGGGTATTGGTGCAACAAACGGATGGTCAATCTAGCACTGATGTTGCTACTTTCCTATGTAATGGCTCAGTCCTGTAAGGTGCTGCATGTCCGTTGTCTTCAATGGGATGTGAAGGCTCATAGCATCTGTCCCTGATGGTTCTGCAAGGGGCTGATCATGTCTCTTCATGATGCTGGGAGTTTAAACCTCAGAACATAATTTTGACAGGTTAGAGCCCTGTCCAGGAAGATGGGGGGCCAGGGTGGAACTGATGAGGGATTCCTTTAATGATGTTGTGTTTGTTCTGGTCTAATGATCTGCAGTGGATCCTTCTGTGAGGAATAAAATCATCATAACACATTGCATAGGAGCCCCAAGAACAAGTGGCACTAAGTGGCAACCTCAGCAAAGAGGTCAAGCTTGAAAAGGAAGTGGTGACTGAAAATGAGGTGGGGATGAGGAATCTGATTTCAAACTATGGAGGTGCTGAAAAAATTAGCATCAGGCAAGCAAAAAAAAAAGGGGGGGGGAGTGATCTAGGGAGCAGAGCATGGGAACTGGACTTGAGACGTGTTCTTGACTGATGTGAACTTGGCAGGGTGGGAAGAGGCAGAGAGGGAGTGGGGTGTTGGGGGAAGGGGTGGAGTGGGGATCGAGCACCTCAGGGGAAATGAGTCCGCATCTGTGGTCAGTATCATTAGCCCCATTTTACAGATGGGGAAACTGAGGCTCAGAGAGGGGGAGGTGGCTGGCTCGGGGCAGAGCCGGGAATAGAACTCAGGACTCTTGAGTCCCAGTCCAGAGCCGTGTCCCATAGTGTCCTGCCTCTGAGGATCTCAAATTACTCTACAAATGTTGATGAATTTTCACCTCACAGCAGCTCATGGGATGGGCAAGTGCACTGTTGATTGTCATCTCACTCTTACCTTGTACTCTCTGGTCTGTCCGACTGTATCTGCCTGTTGTCTTTTGTCTTAGATGGTAAGCTCTTTGGCTAGGCACCATCTCTTTGTGTGTTTCTACAGCACTTAGCAAGCTTTCAGCCCTGATTGGGGTCAGTAGGTGCTATTACAGTACAAATAAATGATTATAATAATATTTATTCCTATCTCCGATGAGGAAACTGAAGCACAGAGATATGCAATGACAAGTCCCAGGTAGCCTATGGCAGTGGTTCTCAACCAAGAGTCCGGGGGCCCCCTGGGGGGCTGCAAGCATGTTTCAGGAGGGTCTGCCAAGCAGGGCCTGCATTAGACTCACTGGGGCCCAGGGCAGAAAGTTGGAGCCCCACTGCATGGAGCTGAAGCCCGGGGCCCTGAGCCCCACCACCTGGGGCGGAAGCCAAAGCCTGAGGAATGTAGCTTTGTGGGGGACCCTGTCGCATCGGGCCACAGGCAATTGCCATGCTTGGTACTCCCTAATGCCAGCCCTGGCTTTTATATGCAGAAAAACAGTTGGTGTGGCACAGATGGGCCATGGACTTTTTATAGCATGTTGGGGAGGGGGGTGACCCTCAGAAAGAAAAAGGATGAGAACCCCTGGCCTATGGGTCAGTTTAAGGACCATGCACTCATTCAGTCGTGATAGGACCAATGCCCCAGAGTTCTGTTCTAGTCCAGAGTTCGCTTGATGCCTGAATGAAACTGCCACCCAGGTGGATGAGAGGCCCTGGGGAAGATGGAACCTTTGGTGGTTCTGCGTAAATATTTCCTGAATTAGCAGTAACAGAGGCAGCAAAAATCATAAACAAGCACTGAATAAACCCAGAAATGCTGCTATTTCTAAATATTATTGTAATGCTTGTGTTACTAGAACAAGGCCCAATGACCCCATTCCCGGGACAGACTTCTCTACCATGTTTGCTTTGGTGACTGAAAGGAGGGGTCTTTACCCAGAATAGTATTTTAGATTTCAAATTTAGCTCTTTTTTTGGTACAGGCCACTTGGCCATTTAAAAAAAAAATAGGCATAATCGTTTTACAGCAGTGCTTCCTTGCTGCAGTGTAGCTACATGGGTGCAACACCCCCTAACACAGACCAGCCTGAGTTGAAACTTCCTCCAGAGTCAAGTACTTTCCTGCGATGAGAGCATGGGGCCTTCCACTGAAACTGTTGGGAAGTGCTCTGTGTGACCGAATATGGCAGGCAGTCTCGGTTGGCTGCAAACTCAGCATCCCACAGCTTTAGTCAGGGGAAGATTCCTGAGAAATCGCGTGATTGATTTCTGCAGCCTACATTGTTGTTTCTCACCCCACTCCCAGAGGTCTCCTGTGCTGTATCAGAGTGGAGTGACTGGAGTGGCTGTGCAGAGCCTTGCCGGGCAACATATCGAGTTCGGAGGAGACACGTCGTGCAGGAGCCTAGAAATGGAGGCGAGGCGTGTCCTCCTCTGGAGGAGAAGGCTGGCTGTGTGGAGTATTGGAACCAGGAAGGAGCTGAGTGCAAACAGTCCCTTAGTAAGTGCATTGAAAACGCAACTTCTTGGGCACATGGCTGAGTCCTGGGCTGAAGAGGGCTTGCTTGAATCCAGGGGTCTGGCCACTAAACCTTCTTTACAGTGTTTGTTGGCTGGAGTTATTTGCAGATAAAGCCTTTGGGCCCAATTCTGCTCTGTTACACCAGTGTGAATTTGGAGTTGCTCCAGTGGAGTTACTCTGGATTTACACCAGCGTTACTGAGAACTGAATTTAACCTTTTGTATGGGGTTCGTGGGCATCCTTTCTGGGACATTTATTTGAATTTGTACATGCTGTTTAGTGTAATCTGGTATGTTTCAAAAGTAAAACACCAGGAGTCTGATTCTGATCTCACTTAGGAGTGTAAATCTGGAGTAATTCTTGTGAAGTCAGTTGAGGAAAATTCTTGTAAGTAGGAGGGAAAATTTGGCCTTAGGAGGTCCTGAGCAGTATCTTTATAAATCAGCTGCAAAAGTCATGGAGGAATGGCACCCATCAGAGGCAAGATATCACCTTTCCCCACCCAGTTTCTCTTGCGTGCCACTTTCTGATGTAAATCTGGAGTAAAGGCTGATTTGATCTTGAATACATTGACTTTCTACGGGTGTAACTCCACTGACTACTTCTGATTTTTTTTTGCTGATGTCTCTGGGACCGGAGTTTGGCTTTGGCTTCTTTACTAGTGTGGATTTAATAGTTCAGGTTTATTTTAAATCAGCTTTCTCAAACCTGCTGAGAGTTGCTATTAAATTAACAGTGATTTTGTTCTCCGTTGTTTGGCACTGCTCTGATAAGCAGCCTCCATCTCTCAGACAGTAAAAGGGGATGAATATAAATTTATCTCCAATCAAATGCTGGATATTCACTGATAATATGGAATTGTCTTTGGCAGGAAATCAAAGTAAAAATTATGTGCCGTTAAAGACCATCAAAGCCCCAATCTTTATTGTTTGACAGGCACAAGTGGCCTCAGTGGAGTAATGTCACTTACCATGTGTGCTATTTCTCTTTGTGCACAGTTCCAGCATTAATAACCACAGGAGGTTATGGGAAAGCAAGGAAAAAGAGAGCTGCGTCCAGTGAAAATGAAAGATCAGGGTAAGTAGGGGGCTGAGTGCTGCAGTGTAATCACACTTCACACACACTTTCTCATCGGCTTCAGCGTGTGCAGGATTGCACCCAGGCTCTGCTCTTATCAGAGCAAATGTTCAACAGGATGGAGACTTCTAGACTCTGTCTACACAGCATGTTAAGCCTGGGCTCTGACTCAGGTTTGAGCCCAACCCCCCATTCTGTCCACATACAAATCAGGACCCGAGTCCTATGACCTGGCTAGGGGGGTGGGTCAAAACCCGAGTTCCTCTGTGACATTTTGCAATGTGGCTACAGGTCAAACTGAAGACTCAAGTCAGAAGGTCTGGGTAGTGCAGTATGGATTCATTAGCATGCTTGCAAGACCCAAGTTCAGTAAGTGTGAACCCAGGTTTACAATTTAGTGTGGATGCTAAAGTGCAGGTTTGGAAACACTGAATCTACAAGTCCAGGTCCCACAAACCCTTAAAGCCTGATTCCAGTGTGGCACCGACTTCACAAAATAAAGGGCTTGACTCTCTGCTTGGGGACATCAGGATAAACCAGGAGTAACTCCACTGAGGTCAGCGGGACTCCACGGATGTAAAGCTGGCGTGATGGGGAGAGCAGAGTTGTAGTTGTTTAATATTGTTGCTATTTAGAATTCCGTAAGCAAAGAGCAGTCATTTCAGCCTGTTCCCTTGACCTACTTCTCTCTGGGTCCAGTGCCCTTTTCTCCCATCATCATGTGATGGGCTTGCTGGCAGGGTAGCTCTCAGTCTCGCTGTGCTCTTTGCTGTTTGTTTTACCATGAATAGATTTCCAGCATAGACCATGGCCTAAATAGTCAGAAAAATGTGCGTGTATGTACTGTTACTGCCCTGGTACTTAGAATAAATCAATCACTGACGCAGGAACTTCTTATCTCAACTGTATAGGCCCTTGATGCCTATTAATTACTGTCAAAGAGGAGTGCATTTATGGACCCCCTGTTTTTTTCCTGTGTGTATGTTATGTTTTTGTTACTTGTTTACAGTTGATCTTCAGCTTTATAATAGGGATAGCCATTTACACTCCCCTCTTGGGCTACAGTGTGAACCATAGTTATCCTCCGCATTAAAGGGAAAGCGTGGACTGTGGAGACTCCAGCTCCAGCACGCTGGGAGCTGTTGTCTCTGTGGGCAGCACCTCTGTATTAAATGTGAAGCCAGGTGCAGCTGGCTCCATTTTATGCAAATTAGCTTTGCCAATTCCTGGTAAATTGCCCTATTGGGTACCAGCAGAGCAGAGTCCGAGCATCCTTGCTGTGTAAGAGGCAGTTTATTGTACTGGTTGGCTTGATTGCATCAAGAGCTGGAGGGAGATCCAGGTGATGTGCTTGGCTCCCTTAAGCTCGTTTTCCCCCCAATGTCACTGTTACACAGTGCAGGTACTGGCAAGCATCAAGGTTCTGCATGTGGCTCTCATGTGCACTCTAAATCCTGTGAGAGACAGAGATATGCGAGTGCTGATCAGTTGCCAGGCCGGGGTTCTCGACATAGCCACGAATTTGGCAAACGTTCCTCCTTTATGCTCACCTTAAAGAACTAAGGATCTGTGAGGTGCTGACTTTGGCCTTGCTTCTCGTCCCTGTAGGGGCTGCTTTTGCTATTGCAGGTCCATGTAGCAGATCGCGAAGAGGGATTGCTGCCTGTTTTCTTGTCTCCTGCCTTACTCCGTTTTGCAGGCTGGTGATTCTCTGTGGCATCTTATTTCACGCTCCTGTGGAGGGGTTTTCTTTGTTGTCACCTGCCATTCTGTAAGTGTCACAGGGAGGATATTGGTACCTCTCTGACACCATATGGCAGCTGTGCATTTGCTGGTTCCGCACCCTTGCGTGCACACACACGTTTCCATAATGTGCATACATCATCACCCTCATTTAAGCGTCTGCAGGGAAAGAGCTTCTGCTTGTGCAAAACCCCATTCTGCGATATATTTGCGCACAGTTACCGCCACCTCCTCAAACTTCCATTCTCCTCACTGAACAAGGCCAGTTCTTAGCCTTTCTTCTAAAGTTTGGTTAAAAACACCAGTACAGCGTGATCTGAGCATGGCATGAATAGAGTTCTAAGTCTCACTGTAAGCCTGATAATCCTCCTCAAAAAGATGGCCGCTTCACCCCACTTCAAAGCAAGTACATTGCCATAGAAAGACCTCCAATTACTTGAGACTTGGGTGCTGTTACGAATTATTCTACAAGACATGTCTTAGTCTCCTATGAAGAATTACCATAAATAATCAAAACTAAGTACTGGGGAACAGTACGGTCCCGTGAACAAGGCACCAGATTAGGAGTCCGCAGACCTGGGCTCTATTCCTGGAGCTATCATTTACTTGCTGTGTGTACCTCAGTTTCCTTACTTGTAAAAGGGGCATCAGCGATATTTACCTTCCTTTGAGAAGCACTTTGGTATCTGTGGTTTGAAAGCACCTATGTTAGAGCTGAGTGTTGCTATTCAATCTAACCTGTCAGAATAAATGCACACCGTGTGTTTTGTGATGCACTTCCCCTTTTTTAAAAATGATCTTTGTTCACCCAGTCTGCTCTGGGTCGCTCGGTCACTGGTAGGTCTGTAACACAGCTGTTCAGCTAACTGAGACTGTCGTTTCTGCTGCAGGTATTGTGTCGAATTCCAGATCACAGCCATCACGGAAGGCTGTTTGCAGGGGAGCAGTTCCTATACTCAGTGGATGCGATATCTCAGCGAGGGGCACACGGTCTGCGTGGAGTGCCAGCACCCGGCCCTGGATTCCAGGAGTCTGCATTGCTACGGGGATGGCAGTGGAAGCAAAAAGTAAGAGCCCTGAATCCTGCCTTGTTCGTGTCTTTTCACATTGGATTTTTATATTCCTCCCCTTTGAGTTACTTGGCGAGTTTAATAATACCCTCTGCTCACCTCTCACTTTACGTTCTCAGAGCCCTGTACATATATTAAGTAATCCTCACTGCACACTAGGTGTTAGGTAGGTGATATTAGAATCATTATTTGACAGAGAGACTGAGATGAAAGGTCTTGGCCAAGGCTTCATGGTAAGCCAGTGGCGGAGCCAGGATGGGAACACAGGACCTCCTGTGATTAGTCCGCTAAATCTCACTGCCTCCTAATTTAAGTAGCACAGTTATGATTTTTTTTTTTTTAAAGGCTTCCTTTAGTCTGACCAACGTCCCATGGCCAGCAAATAAAACCAAATCTGTTTGCAGGCTGGCACTGGTTCTAAGAACCATTTACTTCACTCGAGTGGACCTGTGGCTCATCTAGATCTGTACCGTGTTTCCAAAAGTGACCCTAACTGGGTGGTTCAGAATAGCGTGTTTCTCCCTGACCCCAGGCACTGTAAGCTCTGGTGCTGGGAACTGGTAGCCAGTGTAACTGGAGATCAAAACAAATCTTTGCATTATCGCACCTTTCACCCAGGAATCTCAAATTGCTTCTGCAAGCATTACTCGCACTGTACAGATGGGCCAAAGGAGAGGAGGAAGGACTTGCCTGTGGCCACACAGCAAGACAGTGGAGGAATAGAGTTCTGATTTGCCAGTGCCCTGCTATAGCCACTAGACACCACTGCCCCTCCACTTTTCTCTCACACAGTTCCCTTCCACCTGTTACACACTGTGGAACTGCAGGGCAATCCAGCACTGGAAATGACTGCGTGGCAGGGCTGTGGGTGTTTTGCTTGTAGCTCACTTTAATATTGAAATGAATAGCTCTGTTTTTAAATACTAACCATAAACAAGGATTATGAGGCTTGAAAACATGCTATATATTACACACCCACTACCGCAGCCAGTAATAGCCTTTTTAGGTAGAGGCTGCCCATGGCTTTTAATGAGAACAAGTCATGTTAGATTCTTTTCCTCCCACTCTTCCCCCTGCTTGTTAAGTATGAAAGTTGCAAAGATCTTTAGATAAAGAGCAGCGAATCCAACTGATGTGGTCAGCAGAGGCTAAAAAGTGTAAAAAATTATTTTGTTGGAAATCCTGGAGCCAAAAAAGAGCATCGGAGTAGGTGAAACGAAAAATATCTGCATCCCACAGTTTCCTTCCCAGGGGTGTGGAAAGAGACCTTCCCTCATTTACCAAGCTGTCTGGTGAATAATATCATCTACATTCATAGCTTTATAGAACTGAGTGAATTGTTTTTGAACAAACAGTTTATTCATGGAAAAATGCAAGTTTGGGTCTACTGGAACTATTTGCACATTTGGATCAAACTCAGTGAAGAGTTTTGCCTGGGGGGAAAAAAAATTCCAAAAAGCTAAAATGTTTCAATACTTTTGAAATGAAACATTTTGACTCTTCAAACTACTTTTTGCTTAGAAATTTAGCTTGTGTGGGTGTTTTTATTTAGTAAAAAAAAAGCCACCTGAAAACAAAAGAAGCAAAACAAACAAACCCTAAAAGTCATTTTGGGTTGAACTAAATGTTTTGTTTGACCCAAAACAAATTTTTTGTTTAACTGACTTTTTTTGGGAAGATGGTCATTCACTCAGCTCTAACACTTTAGTGTATAGGGCAAGAAAAACGACATTGTCTCTGTTAAAAATAGTAATCTCTGATGGCAACCTGGAGAACTGGCGAGTTTAGGGGAGTGTTAACGGAATATGGAGTGAATTCTAGCCCCATTGAAGCCAGTGGGAATGTGGCTGTTGACTTGAATGGAGTCAAGATTTCACCCATGGTGCCTTTCATCTCTAAGGAGCTGGTTTGAATCCTTTCTAGTTCAGCAGAGATGGAATTTGTTCCCATCTGTTTGCTGTATACTGGTGTATGTGAGATGAGTTGCTGAGCTAATCCATTTCCAGGTGCATGAGAAACTGGGAAGTGAAACAGATTATAAAACATAGTGAACTTGACCTGTCTAGCTTCCAAGCTGAATCAAATAAGTCTCATGGGAATTGGCACCAGTTGGCCGTCTTGTCAAGGAGACCAAGGGTTGAATGAGGTTTGGACAGTGAATGCCCCTTGCAGCACTAGAGATGGTCCTTCCAGATAGGGCTGGGGCCAGGTGGGGGAAGCTTACACTGCTGCTGCCTATGTCACATCTGTTTTGGGGACTTTATTTTGACCCAGTATAGCTCTCAGTGAGGTGTCCGTGCCTAATGTTATTTTGGGAGCCTACCTTCTACTGCCCTGGTTCATGAAGCTCTACTCTGATGTGAGAGCACCTGGCAGAAGAAAGCTTAATTAGCAGTTCCAGGCTGGTGGTGGAATGTGCAGTTGGCCGACTGAAGGCAAGATGGTGCAGCCTACAAATCCATTGGGATGCCAGTGTGTATAATGCCATTCCTGTTGTTGGGGGGGCTATGCACTGCAGAGTTATGATGAAGAGACTAGTGAATAGGAAGCCCTGTAGAGATGATAAAAAAATTAAAATGAATTCACCTTTAATAATCTAAAGACAAGGCACCGCTCTAGCCCTCAACACGGCAAACCTTCTGTGATGGAATCCTAACGGGTTGATTACCCCAATAAATTAAAATCCCTGAGTGATTAGAATAATCCCAGCCTTGGCAGTCATCTTGTTTCCATTCATTTCATTCCTCGACTCCCCACCACCTCAATCCTTTCATCTCCCCCTGCTGTTTGAAAGCAAAGAGAATTTCCAACAAGTTTCTGAGCCATTTTAGCTTTTACTTCAGGGTAAGAGATTTTGTTGGTTCTTTTGTTCCTTTCAACTGGATTTGTGGCCTTACATTCTTGAGGGGGTCATGGGGCTTGGATCTCTTCTGGAGTGGTGGGAAGTATTTTTATGATTCACACATTTAGATGATCGCTCTCCCTAAAGCTACCACAAAATGTTGTGCAAGTTGTGGGGGCCAGTTGTATTGATTTCTCAAATTGCTGTCCTATGTGCGGTTCAAAGTATTTGTTGGTGGAGCTGAGCCATGTTTGGAATGTCTTGTATGGGCATGTTTTATGCACAGCGCTGGTGCATGATGCTCCCTTTTCACTTCCTTCCAGAAATAGGCTTTAAGGACTGGCCAAGTGGGATGGAGGCAGGGAAGGCATGTGAGTGGGGGGGCATATGAAGCTGGTCAGCCATGATCTCTGAGAAGGAAGGGGAGCAGGTGGGATGGGAGAAACGTGTGTGTCGGAGGGCATTGCCTCTCCAGTAGAGTAGCTAGACATATCAGAGTATCGACTGAGTTTTTGAAACATTTTAGGGGAGCTCTTGTCCTGCTAAACTCCTCAGGCCAGAATCTGTGAGCCCTGGTAAAGAGGCTGAAGCTGGCAGGGGCTGGGATACAGCTTTGAGCACTTGGCCAGGTCTACGTAGAACTCTCATGCTATACATCCAACCTCCCTTCCCCACAAAGTACCCTGGTTTCAATCTTTAGCCTATGTAACCGTTCCAGTTATGCTAATAGGATAAATTGATCTATTTGCTGGTGATCATGCAGGCTGAACTATCTGCCTCTCCTAGAGGGGAGTCACTGGAGCTCCTGGCTGAGGCACTGCGAGGGAAGCGTGTACAGCTGGTGCCTGGATCACACCCATCCCATCTCGACACTGCAGTCCTCTAGCGCTGTCGGTTTGACAGCTGGCACCAGCATTTAATTCACTACTGGTTCCCAGGATGATTGTCGGGAAGTAAAACTTCAGAGAGAGTTTAAAATAAACTCAGCAGCGGTGTTGTACTTTTGAATATTTTCTGTCTCTCTCTCAGCCTAGTCTGGCGCAATTCAAGCATTTGAGTAGCTAGTGCAGACTAACGGGAGATTCTGAAGGCTGCCTATGTAACCCGTTAGCGAGTGGTTCCTTCTCAGTGCGTGACCTGCAGAGAATGTGAATCTGTTACAGTCACAGCTAGGGAGCCTTGGGTCTTTGGCTCAAGATGTAGCAGCTCCTGCTTGTAGCTCTGGAGGTCTCCAGTGTGATGGCCAAGTAGCAGCCGTCACGTAAGTGGGGACACCTGGGATGCTCCAAGGAGTTTGATTGGCCTCCCTGTTCATGGAAGGGTAAGAGTTAAGAAGCCCAACGTGACAGGGCTGTAAAATTATCCAGCGATCTTAGGACAGGTGGCGGTGGGGTGGTGGTTGGTTGTTTTGTTTTTAATGGTACCAGACCTCCGTACTAAGCAACAAGCACTGATGTCTGTGATGAGCATGCGCTACAAACTGCTCTGGGGGCCGGTGCCTGGGAGGATTAGCTGTTCTTTATAGTCTTAAGCAAGATGAGGTGATTGCAGCCCACAAACAGCTTCACTTGGTACATCCAGATAGGGAAGTGGGGGAACATTCCTCTAAACATAACACAGACCGTGTTTCCTATCGGCAGGGCCAAAGCTGGCAAGTGTGCTTTATGTTGAAGGAATCAAGCCTTTTAAAGATAAAGCTGTGGCCCAGGGGAGGAGGAGAACCATACAACATGTGGGACCTGTCCATGTATGTAGCCTGCTCTGTAATATCTAGGATCTTGATTCTTCTTATGCAAACCCTGGTGCCTTGAAATGACCCAAAGGCAGAAAAGAGAATGTTTCATTTCCCCCCCACCATGTGTGATGTATAAAACTGCACCCTGGATCATGGCACCTCGTTAAACCATCTGTCTCTGTAAAATTGGCAGTGATAATCCAGGCTTCTAGAGAACTATAAAGCAAACAGGAGCAACAGATCATTCTGGCTACTTTGCTGACAGCTCTTGGCACTGGGGCGAGGACTGAACGAGCCATTGTGCTTTTCCGAAAGGGCCGGGCTGAGACCTGTTGGCATGTGGTAGTGCATGTGTAACGGGAGAAGAAGTCTGCAATGCTGCTGCCCGTGCCGTACCTTTTTCTATGGCTAAATTTCAAGCTCCCCGTCTGTCTGGCCAGCACCTTTTGTGCTAACATTAAGGGTACGCCTACACCAGAGCGAGGGTGTGATTCCCAGCTCACGTTAGACATACTCTTGCTAGCTCTCCTCCAGCTAGAATGCTGAAAATAGCAGTGGCAAGAGTCAGCACAGGGTAACTGCGCTGCGTACAAGCCTTCCTGAACCTTGTGGGTATGTGCTAGCTTGTGCGGCCGTGGCTTCACCGCTATTTTTAGCCAGCTAGCACGAGTATGTCTAATGTGAGCTGGGACTCTCAAATGCTACATCTGCACATCAGGGTAAGTACTTTAAAAGCATTTGTTTAAAATGGAACATTTCTCTAGTCAGTTCAGGATAAACACATTCAATAACTTGCTGGGAACATTCAGAACCTAGGAGAAAATAGTTTAGAAGGTGACAGTGATGTCTCTGCTCTCTTTTCCTGCCATACAAATAGATCCGTACTGCATGGCTCTGTGTTGCATAACACCTACTCGTTCAGTGTCTATGGATGACCGTGAGAGCTCTGCCCAAGGAAAGCTGGCAGGATACAGAAGAGACTAGAGCTGGGGGAATTTTTTTGCACAAAACTTTTTTTTGGAGACACCAAAATATTTCATGAATTCCTGTAAATTTCACCAAATTGTTTTAGTTTGGAAAAAAATGTAAACAAAATCAAAACGTTTCATGTTGACATTTTTGAAACAAATATTTTTTTGTTTGTTTCAAAATTTCCTTCAATTTATTAAAAAAAATCAAATTTAAAAAAATGCTCAAAATTGAAACAATGTTTTGTTTGAGCTGTAACAATTAATTTTTTCCCTCAGCCACTCAATTACCAGTGAACCAAAAAATCCCTTATTCGCCCAGGTGTAGTAGAGGCTGGTGATGTGCATTGAAGAAGTGAACTTTGCCTGTGGCTTGCAACTTATCAAATGCTTCAGTACAAGAGGACTGATTGTGATCTCACTTTACACTGCTTTTGCACTGATGTAACCCCATTGGTATCAATAGAGTTGATACTGATTTCACCAGTGTGAGATCAGAATCAGGCCCAGTGGGTGCAGACTGATGTCAGACAGAAGCTTCAGGATTTATTGGCTGATTTCAAACAGTGGCTGTGTGATTGGCTACTTCTACAGAGCAGCCAGCTTCCTGTTTAGCAGCCTTGCTGGAGCCCCCATTAGTGATGGTGCATTATGCACTCAGGTACTGTCCTTGAAGGAGTTAATACACTAATCCCTTCCCTCCCCCCACTTTTGCTTTGTTCCACCAGGAATCAGCTGCTGCACTGGCAGGCCATGGGGAATCCCCGGTGCAGAGGAACCTGGAGGAGAGTTCGCCAGCTGGACACTTGCTCCTGTCCTTCCGTTCACAGTTTCTTGTTCATCTAACTCTTCTGAATTGGCCCAGCACCCCCAAGCCTGAGTCATGGGATCGTGGCTTTGGCACAAAGTTTGAAGTAACAACCCCACCCCACCTGCTGATCAGTCAGTAAAACCCCTCTTGGACTGCTTCAAGGAGGTTGCCACCTGCCAACGCTAAGGCTGAAAACCCCTTCATATCCACCCATGCTCTTGGCTCGCTGAAGAAGACAGGCTGACAAAGAAACTTCAGGCTCTTTGTCCCCACACTTCCTTCCATGAATGTCCCCTGTGCTTGAGAGCAGCCACCCTGACTTGGGCAGTCAGTCGCCTACTCTACTTCCAAGTCCCTCCTTCCCTGAGACTTGCCAGCGAGAAGCCACCAAATAAAAGAATTCAAAAAAGAATTAATATACATGTATTGTTTTAAAACCTAGCTAAGCAGCCAACAAAAGATGTGCAAAATGAGTCCACTCAAATTGCCTCCTCTCCATACAGATAACCCCCCGGCCTGGAGGGCACTCCTCCCTTCCCCCAACGCTTTTGTTATTTTATGTCGGGTTCCTGGTCTAATGCAGAGGCCAGTGCTGTACCTATTGAAATGTGGGGCAAAGCTCTCATTTACTTCAGTGAGAGGAGGTTTGAGTCCTTGGGGACTGATCCTGAAGGGTGCTGAGTGCCTCCGCTCCCATTGGGCTGGATCCTGCTTCCATTGAGGTATACAGTAACTCCTCACTTAACGTTGTAGTGATGTTCCTGAAAAATGCTACTTTAAGCAAAACGATGTTAAGCAAATCCAGTTTCCCCATAAGGGTGGGGGGGTTAGGTTCCAGGGAATTTTTTTTGCCAGACAAAAGACTATATATTTTATATGTATACACACACATACACAATATAAGTTTTAAACAATGTAATACTGTACAGAGCAATGATGATTGTGAAGCTTGGTTGAGGTGGAGGAGTCAGAGAGTGGGATATTTCCCAGGGAATGCCTTACTACTAAATGATGAACTAGCACTCAGCTGAGCCCTCAAGGGTTAACCTATTGTTAATGTAGCCTCACACTGTACAAAGCAGCAGGAATGGGAGGGGAGACAGCATGGCAGAGAGAAACAGAGAGACACATTGTGTGTGACACACACGCATTGCCCCTTTAAGTACGCTGACCCCACTCTAAGTACATTGCCTTTTTAAGTAGATAAGCAAGTTGAGACAGCAGCTGCTGCCAGCAAGCTTCCTGAGTCCTGTTGTATCCTGTCCACCCCTGCTCTGTTGATGGGGTAAAGGAGCGGGGGGGGGGGGTGACACCCTGAGATTAGCACCCCTTCTTCCCCCCCCCCCCCCCCCCACAGCAAGCAGGAGGTTCCTGGGAGCAGCTCCAAGGCAGAGAGCAGAAGCAGCACATGGCAGTGGGGGGAGGGACAGCTGAACTGCCCAGCAATTGATAGCCTGCTGGGCGGCTGCCACACAGGGAGTGGGGAGCTGATGGTGGGGGTGGGACGTGGTGGTCCACCCTGGTTCCAAGCCCCCACCAATAGCTCCAATGGGCTGCTATTTCTGCAAGCAGTAGACACAGCAGGCGGCCACTAAACAGCGTTATAAGGGAGCATTGTGCAACTTTAAACGAGCATGTTCCCTAATTGATCAGCAATGTAACAACAAAACAATGTTAACCCGGATGACTTTAAGTGAGGAGTTACTGTGTATTTATATGAGAGTTGTTTGCAATAGCAGGGGACTGGACTCGATGACTCAGGCAGTCCCTTCCAGACCTATGTTCCTTTGTGCAAAGTTTCCATTTCACGATCGGGCCTGTTGAACCCAATGGGAGTTGAGGGTGCCATGGAGAATGGAGTCCTTTGATTTCAGGCTTCAAGGAGCATGGACCATATTATCTCAACTATCTGTGAAGTGCCTAGAACACCTTTGAGGTGTATAGAAAAAGTAGCCATTTAATGTGCAGCTGGGAGATAACTGTTCCTTTTTGTTTGCACATGGAACTGTTTGAAGTATTTTCTTTATAATTGGTTGAGTTTTGTTGTAACTCTTTCCTGTAGTGAATAAAGAGATGCAGGAGACATTCTAACAGTGTTTGATGTGTTTCTATAGTGCCGTCATGGAGCAGTTGGCCATTGAGAGCTCAGTCCAGCTAATCTTGCTGTCCACTTCTCTACCACAGGATATAGGGCAATGATGGATCTCTGATATCCAATACCTAGGTCACTTAGAACTTCCAAAAAGATCCCAAGCACCTTGAATGAATGGCCCCGAGAAGTGGACATGACATTTTACATATGCTTTGTTTTTAAATGTAATTAAGCAAAATAAAAAACTAAAGATAATAAAATAAAAAGCCCATCTTTCTAGCTTTGCCTTGATAGGATCCCTCGTTTGGACAGTCAGAGTGGCACTTATATATGCTAATGTCCATTTGCTAGACCTAAGTAACACAGTATACTGTAGAGCTGTATAGGATAAAGGGAAATGATGTATTTTGCCTACAGATGGAATGCTCTAGTGCAGTGGCTCTCAACCTTTCCAGACTACTGTACCCCTTTCAGGAATCTTTGTCTTGCGTAACATGCATCACTGCTCTAGTGGTCTACTTCCATTCTCACAGTAAATGATAAACTATCCACTGCTTTGGGGCTGTTGAGTTCAAGGGTAGTACTCAGTGCTGTGATCTCTGTGGCTATGTCTTCCCTGCTAAAAGAGGTATGTTTTTACATCAAGAGCTGACTCCAATTAGCTATATCACTATAAAATCCTAGTGGAGACAAGGCACAGGTACTTCTTACCTCAGTCAAGCTAGTTAAGGCCAACCCTATAACCTCCCTCCCATCAAGGTAAAAACTACAGTGCCTTTTTTCCACTAGGGTTTCATTGAGAAACCCATCTCCCTGAAAATACACACCTATTTTTTTTTTTTTTTTTTTGCCGTGAAAACCAAGCCTTTGATCTTTACCTTTGGGTCTATTTGAAGCCTCTAGCAGCCCTTCTCTTCCTCTTGTGTTTATGATCTGCCTCCCAAGAGTCCTGTTTAGATACACTCCAACTGGCATGAGGTACTGTTCGGACTTCCCCGCAGTAGTGGGTTTCCCCTTGCCTGCCTTAGGAATTTGCTCTGTTTAACTTCTTTGCGCAGCTGATGACACAGTAAACTCAGACAGTACGGCAGGCATCTGCTTTTTAACTGTATATTACAGACTCTCTTAGTGGACTAATGACTCTCAGTGAAATGACTTCATCTCAGTGTAGCAAGGTGGGGGGGAAAAAGGGCTTATGCTTTGCTGTCTCTGACATCATCTGTGAGTAACTGGCCTTTGTGGCCTCCTCAAAGATCCTTTCTGTTTTGTGGACAAAGACATGCTCCTTTTGAGGAATGACATATGAATAAATAACGAGTGCAGTATTTGTGCTTTTGCAGTGAGGCATTTCTCTGGATATAGAAGTAAGTCACTCTCTCTCTATCTCTCTCTGGAGTTATGTGATAATAGTAACACTTATTGGAAGGTTTTAAAGAGGCCTAATCCTGCACCATATGGGTCCAAAGGGAGTTTTGCTATTCGCTTCCGTGGCAGCAGGCTCAAGTGCATGTCAGTAGCCTTTTTCACTTTCAAATTAGTGTATCCAATCCTGGGAGAGACCAAACCCCCACGTCCTGCCAGGTGCTGGGAGCCATCAACTCGTATTGCCTTCAGTGGGTGCAGTAGTGGACTCAGCATTCATTCAATATAAAACTTGTGGCCTAATTAACTTTCTCTACAAAAATTCTATTCCGCCCCAACCAACTCCTAATCTTGCAAAGCACCCCTCCCCTACAAATTCACCCACCAGCCAACTAAGTGTATGTAGACTGTTGCACACAGTTTAGATTATGGTTAGAAAAACATTAATGAAATGTTAACTATACTACGTCTGTGCATTAGAATACACATTAAAGAGGTGGTTGTGTAAAACTCTGTTAAGCATTTATTACTAGAAATCTCATGTGTGGGCTTTGTTGTGAGACTTTCAGGATCTAGTGATTGCCACATGCCACAGTGACAAGTGCAGTATGAAGACCTTGATGGACAGAGATATATAGAACCGCCTCGTGTCAGCTATGTGAGAGTAACTGTGAACACTGCTGTCTTGTTGGTATCAATAATTCTATTCTGGCCCAGGTGAGGTTGCAAAGAGATGCTGAGAAATTAAGAACCTGATCCTGCAAGTCCTTCCTCTAGGGAACTCCCCCTGGCCTCAATATGAACTCCATGCATGGAGGGCTTGCAGGATCAGCCAGTTAAGTAAGTGCAAGGAGATTGGTGATGGGCTATGGCCCCTTTCAGTTCTACGTTGCTGGTTCAAGTGAAGCTCTGATAGACTGGAAGTTGCCACCAGCTGAAAGCTGTTCAGTTGCCCATGTGACATGAAGTGGTAGGTGAAGTGGTCAGGTGTCCGTAGTATGAAACACTACCTGAATGGGCCCAAATGGGCAACTTTCTAGGCAGAGTCAGTGAAGACAGCAATGACTTATGACCCATTGAAGTCTGAATAAATCCCTCATCACCCTCAAGGTGGTACCTTCAGCTCATGACTGAGGCACTTGGGTGAGATGACGACTTCAAATCTACAGGGCTGTCAATCTTGCACCACAACACAGAGAGAGAGACACAGACACAGACACACGTTAACCAAGAAGGGACTGTTTCCCACTGTCTGCCCCCGGCTTTCCTCAGTTTGAACCTCAAACAAAGCTACATCGAGGCTACATTCCATAGTGATGGTACCACAGCACATGCATCAACATGTCCCAGAAGAGGGCAGCACCAGGCACCCGTTTAAAGGCTGCCCCTGAGACACTCGCACAAATAACCTATTGGTGAGTTTTGGGAGGGGAAAGCACAAATATTGAGAGAGAGAGAGACGTATCCCATTAGCAGGAGAGGTTAATGGAGGTGATGGGCCAATTTCCCCAGCAATGACAAATGAATCCCTAGTCCTGTCTGCTGCCCCCAGGGTTTTTATCACCATCCATCATCATAATCTCTGTAACATCTTAGAGCCTAGATCTAAGGGAAGACAAAGCTACTGGAAAGCCCAGGCTAAATATTGCTGAAAAATGGCTTCAGATGGCAAAAAAGACAGCCAGCTTCGTCTTGAGCAAAAGGCTGTTTACTAGAGATGACAGTTGTTCCCATGACAACACTGTGAGCCTTTCACCATTGGGTGTCAACAGGAAAACAGCTCCTGCAGTGAATGGATGAAACCAAGAGCCTTAGCCCAATAACTCAGAAATCATCCTGTTGGTCAAGAACAATCAGGAACTGTTCGTTGTGTACGTGTGCGGGGTTCACGTTTTAGCTATGGGCCTTTGGAGCAGTGAATGAAGGAAAAACCACAAGAATTCAGCTAATTTATCAAAGTTAAAAATAAAAGCCTCAGTGACACCTTAAGATGTTTGATTAAAAACCATGTTCTTCTGCCTGTTCCCCAGCTTTTTCCCCACTTAATTTTCTATGTGCTTGGGGCTTAGGGGGATGGGCTCAGTGGAAGGCTAAGGACTCTTTTCCTCATTGAAAATTTCAGCTTTTCATCAAAAACTTTCCAGCTTTTGGCAACTGGAAACCAAAAATTTAAGGCCAGAAACTGTAAGTATTTGGCCAAAACCTGATTTCCCCCTCGCCTGGTTTTGCCTGGAAAAGATTAGCTCTTCAGGTCTTCGGCTTT